GAAAGAGAAAAGAAGAGCCCTTCTTCCGGAACTGCCCTCTGTAATCTCCCCAAAGGACTGACAGAGCTGGGAAAGAGGGAGCTTCCAATTTTAAGCAATGTTCCATAACTGTTTGACATCAGTGCCTTATCAGAGGTGAACACAAACCAGTAACAGAGTCTTCCTGAACTGCTCTCCTTTATTCTGTTGGGAGAGAGTTAGATCTTCCAAGCCACAAATCTCCTTCACTTCAGTCAGCCATTGGTTGATAGTAGGAGGCCGGATTTGCTGCCACAACATTGGAACTGCGCTGGGTAGGCATATAAGGAGTATCTTCCTGGAGAAGTCTTTCCCTTAATTTGTTTCCAAAAAAGGGCATAAGACTGGGTAGGATCAAAAATATGCAACATAGTGCTTAGTATACCATTATATCTTCAGCAGTTAGGTGAAGAGATGGTAAAAAGTTTGGGGCAGAGCTACACGCTGACATTACATGCATGGAACTGGTGGCCTTCTTTGTAAGTGCATTGTGCTGTTTGTCAAAACAATTGTATTTGCTGACATTTGGATGAAGCCTTTTACCTTCTTATGTGAGGTATTTACTTTTTCATTTATATACTACACTGTACAGTGACTAAGGAGTGAGCAGCACAATAACTAAATGGTTAACACTTACTCCTAAAAGCACTAGAGTCGCCAGTTTGAATCCCAACCATGGTACTACCTGCCTGGAGTTTGCATGTTCTCTCTGTGCCTGCGTGGGTTTCCTCTGGGTACTCCTGTTTCCTCTATCACTCAAAAGACATGCTGGTAGGTTAATTGGTTCCTGTCTAAAGTGGCCCTAGTATATGTATGTATGAATGCGAGTTAGGACCTTAGATTGTGAGCTCTTTGAGGGTTAGGGACTGATGTGAATATGCAATACACATGTAAAGCGCTGCATAAATTGATGGTGCTATATAAGTACCTGTAATAAAATAGATAAATGTGGTCCCTTTCTTGTGGCTCCATGCTGTGAGTGCTTTTCTCCTTGACTGTATCAAGCACACTTTCTGACAGTCCCCTGTGGTGAGAGGTGGTACTACTGAGTGCCCCCATTGTAATAAAGGAGCTGGTTGACCATCAATTTTTATATATATATATATATATATATATATATATATATATATGACTCTATAACTTTCCTACAGATTAAATAATATATTCATTCAAAGTGTGAGAGTGCTGAAAGGAGGGGGGTGAAAACGATTCAAAAATCATTCTTGGCTAAGAGAATATGGAAAATTGAATGACAATTACTTACAGTAATTTTCCTTTCCTGATGGGCTCTATGTCAGTACAGCTGGGTAAGGGCTCCGCACCCTATGATTCCAGGACCTAACTCATAAATTTGAGTCCACCTGCAGCCTCAGTGTTCTGTAACTAGTCCTTCCAAGCTGGGTGGGAATTGTGCTGACATGGAGCCCTTCAGGAAAGGAAAAATTACAGTAAGTATCTGTCATTCAATTTTCTGTTTTCTTGACAGCTCCATGTTAGCATAGCTGGGAACTAACTAGCCACACAGGGGAGGGATAATGCTTCACACTCCTCAATTCTGGCTAAAAAGCAGAGCCAGGATGTCATGTAATTTCAGTATAAATACAGCTGTTCTGTGAATCCCTTGGAGGTTTATTAGAGAACATTTGTTAACAAACAGCATCATGAACGTATAGACTCCAGAGAGAGAAATATCATTTCCCCCTTACAAATCATTAGTAAGACCTCATCTGGAATATGCAGCTCAGGTTTGGGCACCAATTCACAGAAAGAACATTGGGGAACTGGAGAAAGTACAGAGAAGGGCAACCAAATTGATAAGAGGCATGGAGGAGCTCAGCTATGAGGAAAGATTAGAGGAACTGAATTTATTCTCTCTTGAAAAGAGGAGATTAAGGGGGGATATGATTTCCATGTATAATATATAAGGGGGGATATGATCACCATGTATAATACATAAGGGGGGATATGATCTCCATGTATAATACATAAGGGGGGATATGATCTCCATGTATAATACATAAGGGGGGATATGATCTTCATGTATAATACATAAGGGGGGATATGATCTCTATGTATAATACATAAGGGGGGGATATGATCACCATGTATAATACATAAGGGGGATATGATCTCCATGTATAATACATAAGGGGGATATGATCTCCATGTATGATACATAAGGGGAGATGTGATCTCCATGTATAATACATAAGGGGGGATATGATCTCCATGTATAATACATAAGGGGGGATATGATCTCCATGTATAATACATAAGGGGGGATATGATCTCCATGTATAATACATAAGGGGGATATGATCTCCATGTATAATACATAAGGGGGGATATGATCTCCATGTATAATACATAAGGTGGGATATGATCTCCATGTATAAAACATAAGGGGGGATATGATCTCCATGTATAGTACATAAGGGGGATATGATCACCATGTATAATACATAAGGGGGGATATGATCTCCATGTATAATACATAAGGGGGATATGATCTCCATGTATAATACATAAGGGCGGGGGGGGGGGGTATGATCTCCATGTAAAAAAACATCAGTGGTTCATATACTGAACTCAGTGTAGAGTTATTCCCCCTGAGGTCATCACAGAGGACAAGGGGGCACTCTTTTACGTCTGGAGGAAACGAGATTTGATCTCCAAATTCAGAAAGGTTTCTTCACAGTAAGAGCTGTAAGAATGTGGAATAGACTCCCTCAAGAGACAGTTTCTGGCCCGCTCCTCAGTGGATTGCTTTAAAAAAAAGCCCTGGATTCTTTCTTGGATACACAGAATATAACTGGATATAACATTTATAGGTAAAGTTGACCCAGGTTGATATCGATTGCCTCTCAGGGATCAGGAAGGAATTGTTTCCCCTGCAGGAGAAAATTGGATCATGCTTTGCCGTTTTTTTTTTGCCTTCCTCTGGATCAACTGTGGGTATAGGATTATAACTTTTTTTTTTTTTTATTTAATGGTTGAACTGGATGGACTTTTGTCTTTTTTTCAGCCAGACTAACTATGTAACTATGAAGGCCAAGGGACACACCAGACAGGTCAGGGATAAAGTTGGGAGAAGTTTAAAGAACAATTAGGTTATAAAATATATCCCAAGCTTTGACCATCTCACGGAGCACTGATCAATCCATCATCTGAAAATGGAAAGAGTACGGCACAACTGCCAACCTACCAAGACATGGCCGTCCACCTATACTGACAGGTCGGGCAAGGAGAGCATTTATCAGAGAAGCAGCCAAGAGGCCCATGGGAACTCTGGAGGAGCTGCAGGGATCCACAGCTCAGGTGGGAGAATCTGTCCACAGGACAACTATTGGTCGTGCACTCCACTCCTGGCCTTTATGGAAGAGTGACAAGAAGAAAGCCATTGTTGAAAGAAAGCCATGAGAAAGTCCCGCTTGCAGTTTGTGAGAAGCCATGTGGGGACACAGCAAACATGTGGAAGAAAGGGCTCTGGTCAGATGAGACCAAAATAGAACTTTTTGGCTTAAAAGCAAAACGCTATGTGTGGCGGAAAACTTACACTGCACATCACCCTGAACACACCATCCCCACCGTGAAACATGTTGGTAGCAGCATTATATTGTGGGGATGCTTTTCTTCAGCAGGGACAGGGAAGCTGGTCAGAGTTGAAGGGAAGATGGATGGAGCCAAATACGAAGCAATCTTATGAGAAGACCTGTTAGAGTCTGCAAAAGACCTGAGACTGGGGAGGAGGCAGAGGCGGACTGACAACTCATGGGGCCCCCGGGCAGTAGGGGATCACTGACCCCGGGCCCTCGGGCAGTGCCCGAGTTTCCAAATGGTCAGTCCGCCCCTGGGCGGAGGTTCACCTTCCAGCAGGACAACGACCCAAAACATCCAGCCAGAGCTACAATGGAATGGTTCAGATCAAAGCATCTTCATGTGTTAGAATGGCCCAGTCTGTCAGGGATCCAGGTATGACCAGAAATGTGTGGGAACACAGGTGTAGTCAGGGCTGGAGAGGTGGAATGGTCAGGCAGGCCGTTTGGTATTGTTAAGCACTGCCTGGCGGCATCTCTAGCAGCCCGCAGCACGGGGTTCCTCAGGCGCGAGGTCTAAGTCCCAATCTGCTTATTCACCAGGGCCCCTGATGGTGGGGATGGACTTGGAGCAGACTGAGACCAGGTCGCGACCCCTGAGTACGTCCGGCAATGGTAGAGAGCGTCGTCAGAGGTGTGCGGGGAAAGGAGCCTGACATGAAGAAGCTGGCAGACCTGGTAACATGGACAGAGCCGTGCGGGATGGATGGATGGATCGCCTGGGTAGCGTAAGGCATAGTCAGGCCAGGTCAGCAACGTGCGGGCAGTGAGGTACCGAAGGAGCAGGCAGAGAATGGTCAGGGTCACAAGCTGGGTTCAGTAACTCACGGGCAGTGCGGTACAGAGGATCAGGCAGAAGGATGGTCAGGCAAGGCAGGGGTTAAACAGGAGATGGTCAGCAGGGTCAAGAACAATGCAGAGGTCGGCAACAGAAGACTCACAGGATACCAGGTACAGGGGCTCATGGGAAACAATACACCAAGGCACTGACTGCAGGTCTGGCCATTCCTTAAATACACCTCCTGCAATCAGCCTCAGGTGTTGGCTGATTGCAGGAGTGAGCTTCTGGCTGCTGAGAGCACCCGCTGGTCAGCCCTGGTACTGCAGCCCACACGGCAGGTGAGTCCCACCACCAGTGCTGAGTCTATTCCTGACAGTACCCCCCCCCTCAAGGAGCGGCCTCAGGACGCTCCAAACAGTCCTTAGTGGGCAAAATGTTCCACCGCCCGGGTCAGGTAACTGGCTGGATATCTTACTGCTGGAGTCAACCGGCTGGCTGGGTTTCCTGCTGGCAGACTTCTCTTTATGTAGGTGAACCCAGGAAGGCAGGTTGCTGGACACAGGATCTCCAGGAGCAGGCTGGGAATCAGTTATTGGCCAGTTTAGCTGGACATCAGGGGCTGGCACATCAGGCTGCGCAGCGGGCAGAGGCACATCGGGCTGGCGCAGCGGGCAGAGGCACATCGGGCTGCGCAGCAGGCAGAGGCACATCGGGCTGGGCAGTGGGCGGAGGCACATCAGGCTGGGCAGCGGGCACCGGGCCATCAGGTGAGGCAGCGGGCACCGGGCCATCAGGCGAGGAAGCAGGCAAGGCAGCGGGCACCGGGCCATCATGCGGAGCAGCAGCTACTGGGCCGTCATGCGGAGCAGCAGGCACCGGGCCATCATGCGGAGCAGCAGGCAAGGCAGCGGGCACCGGGCCATCAGGCGGAGCAGCGGGCACTGAGTAACCAAGCTCGACAGCTGGCACCGAGTCACCAAGCTCGACAGCGGGCACCGAGTCATCTGGCACGACAGCGGCACCGAGTCATCTGGCACGAAAGCGGGCACCGGGTCACCAAGCTGGACAGCGGGCACCGAGTCATCTGGCACGACAGCGGGCACCAAGTCATCTGGCACGACAGCGGGCACTGGGTCATCTGGCACAACAGCGGGCACGGGTCACCAAGCTGGACAGCGGGCACCAAGTCATCTGGCACGACAGTGGGCACCGAGTCATCTGGCACGACAGCGGGCATGACAGCGGGCACCGAGTCATCCGGCTCGACAGCGGGCACCGAGTCATCAAGCTCGACAGCGGACACTGAGTCATCTGGCACGACAGTGGGCACCGAGTCACCAAGCTCGACAGTGGGCACCGAGTCACCAAGCTCGACAGTGGGCACCGAGTCACCAAGCTCGACAGCGGGCACCGAGTCATCTGGCTGGACCGGGTCATCAGGCTGGATCACGAACACCGGGTCATCAGGCTGGATCGGGCCATCAGGCTGGATTGGGCCATCAGGCTGGATCAGGCCATCAGGCTTGGTAGCGGGCACCAGGCCACCAAGCTGGACAGGACTATCAGGCCAGGTAGGATCATCAGGCTGGATCAGGTCATCACACTGGATCGGGTCATCACGCTGGATCGGGTCATCACGCTGGATAGGGTGATCAGGCCGGATCGGGCCATCAGGCTGGGTAGCGTACACTGGGTCATCAGGCATCAGGGCATCAGGCTGAACAACGGAAGGCGGGTTCTCAGACAGCAGGCTGACCGGTTTGGATACTGGCAGGATGGTACTGGTTGGAAAGAATTTTTGCTTCTTCTTGGGTTTAGTTACTGGGGCACTGAAAGTAAATGCAGGTCTGTAAATGGATGGAGTAGCTGGGGACAGAGAAGAGCTGGAGGGTAGAACAGAGGAGGGAACAGTTGCTACAGAGGGCTTCTTTACAGGGTTAAAGGCAGGATAGGTGCAGTGAGTGGGAGCGGGGGACTGACATGTGGTAGATAGCAGGGTATACTGGGCTGTCACTGGGGGTGCTATCGGGATTGGAGGGTATACTGGGCTGTCACTGGGGGGGTGCTGTCGGGAATGCAGGAATAGAGCTTTGAAGAAGTAGGTTAGAAGCAGGACTGGGTTTTTGCAAACTGACTGAGGCTGGGTGTAACAAATCTGACCATATCTGCAGTACTGGTTGAACGAAGCTCAGCTTACACGTAGCCTGTCTGACCAAAGACTGCACTGCGTTTATGCAATCCATAAGCACATGTGATGGACAAGCTGCATAATGCTCATGGAAGCAATCTGGATCATCCTCCAACAACCATACCAGCGATTCCACTTGATCTTCACTAAATGGTGTAAAAATGTCATCCCTGCTTCCAGGGGTACAGGACAGAGCCAACTCAGCACAAACCTGGATCAATGGCTGCACCTCAGAAAACTCTGTGCCTCGATCCACTAGTGAATGAGCAACTTGTATGCATTCTAGCAGCTGATCCCTGGTATACTCCTTCAGAGTCTGATAGGCATAATCTCTGTCATCTAGGACTAGCAGCGACAAATACACAACATCCTCAGGATGCATCCTTCACAACAATAAGCCAAGATGGCTTTCCTGTGCAGCCACTTCTGGTCAGGACTGTCCTTGGTGTAATGTCAGGGATCCGGGTATGACCAGAAATGTGTGGGAACACAGGTATAGTCAGGGCTGGAGAGGTGGAATGGTCAGGCAGGCCGTTAGGTATTGTTAAGCACCGCCTGGCGGCGTCTCTAGCAGCCCACAGCATGGGGTTCCTCAGGGCGCGGAGTCTAAGTCCCAATCTGCTTATTCCCCAAGGCCCCTGATGGTGGGGATGGACTTGGAGCAGACTGAGACCAGGTCGCGACCCCTGAGTACGTCCGGCAATGGTAGAGAGCGTCGTCAGAGTTGTGCGGGGAAAGGATCCTGACGTGAAGAGGCTGGCAGACCTGGTAACAGGGACAGAGCCGTGCGGAATGGATGGATGGATCGTCTGGGTAGCGTAAGGCGTAGTCAGGCAGGCCAGGTCAGCAACATTGGATTCAGCACTCACCAGAAGCTGGTGAATAACCAGCAGTGGAAAATTAGTAGGAATTCAATCAATCTCCTTAACAATGGATGGTTGTGAAATCTTGAACTTGATAATCAGCCAGCAACCCAAAAGGACCTCCGATCACAAGATTATTAGTATCTCATACTCCGATCTCCTCCTCATTCAGATTGGGGAATATCAATTCCATATGTGGGCAAAATAAAACAGCCACGTAGCGTGATACCATAAAAACAATCATTTATTGCCATAGAAAACTGTCCTCAAGAAAAGCACTCACATTGAGTAACATGGTAGTGCACTTTATATAAATACTTCCAATAAGATGGCCGCCGCTCACAGCAGCTAGTGACAATCTCACCGCACACTGGTAACTCAGATCTTCAACCGATCACATGCTCTCACCACGTGGTCCCGGCATGTGTGCTGATATCACAGATGGTCACGCTTTTCGTCATATCCGACTTCCTCTGATATGGTCACGCTTTGACGCGTTTTCACCATTTCTTGTACATGGGGATATAGGTTGTTTTCATCCTATATATATTTTGAATTCATTTATCATTTTCCTTCCACATCACAATTATGTGTCACTTTGTGTTGGTCTATCACATAAAATCCCAATAAAATACATTGACGTTTTTGGTTGTAAAATGACAAAATGTGGAAAATTTCAAGGGGTATGAATACTTTATAAAGGCACTGTATATAGCTGTCTTGTGACTTCTATCAGTGTCCAGCAAAGCACTGGTTAAAGCTTGTAGGAGGAGTTTTCATTTTGTTTTTTGACTGTCCTAGGAGGCTGCAGGACCCCTGATCTTTGTATGGACAATGCTGATTGACCCTGTGCTGATCACATGCACTCTCCCAAGAAAAAACAAACAAACAACTCTCTAGCAATACACACCAAACTGAGCATGTGCAGCTTGACCCCAAGGCTCTGTTCTATCAGGAGATGATTTGGGGACAGTAGAAGGGGAGGATCATAGAAGACAGGATCAAACATCCTTTTTACAGAATGCAGAGGATTAACCCCTTAGTATGAGTATAACAAGCATGCTTTACTGCATATACAGACTGATTTTACTGTTGTGGGTTTAGTAACACTTAAAGAGATCTCTAACTCACATCTTCAGTCTCTCCCTCTCTTCTGATCTTCCCTAACACTTTAAAACATGCACTAGTCACCCCCATACTTAAAAAGCCTCTGCAGTGTTGATTTTACATGTAATACTCCACAGAAACTGGTCTTCTAAAACCCACAAATGATCTACTAAACAGCTAAGACCAATGGACACTATTTTGTACTCCTACTTCTGGACCTTTTCGGCTGTCCTACATACAGCTGACTACCCCCACCTCCTCAATAAACTTTACTCCTTTGGTCTCTGGCACTGTACTCTTCGTTGGTTCTCATCCTATCTATCCCAACACACCTTCAGTGTCACTTACAATTCTACTTCCTCTTCTCCTCTACCTTTCTCTGTTGGGGTCCCCCAAGGTTCTATTCTTGGACCTCTCCTATTCTCCATCTACACCTCCTCCCAGGGTCAGCTGATAGCCTCCCATGGCTTTCAAAATCATTTCTACGCTGATGATACCCAAATCTATCTCTCTACCCCTCAGCTCACAACACCAGTCTCCTCACACATCACTAATTTACTAACAGACATATCAGCCTGAATGTCACACCACTTCCTCAAACTCAATCTCTCCAAAACCGAGCTGAGCAACTCCGACTGCAACTCCCTCCTCATCGGCTTACCTTTACACAGGCTATCCCACCTTCAGTCCAGAATGAATGCTGCTTCCAGGCTCATCCACCTTACCAACCGCTCCGTGTCTGCCACCCTTCTCTGCCAATCTCTCCATTGGCTGCCAGTCACCCAACAACTAAATTCAAAATACTAACAAAAAATTACAAAGTCATCCACAACTTGACCTCCAGCTACATCACTGACCTAGTCTCAAAATACCAACCAAATAGTTATTTACGTTCCTCGCAAGACCTCCTGCTCTCTAGCTCACTTGTCACCTTCTCCAAGGTTCGCCTCCCGAGACTGTTCGATGCTATGGAACTCCCTACTCCAATCTGTCCGGCTTTCTCCTACTCTGTCCACTTTAAGGAGATCCTTGAAAACCCTTCTGTTCAGAGAAGCCTATCCCACCTCAGCCTAACAACTGTATTTCCACTCTCTCCATCAGCTCACCCCCACAGTTATTACCTTTTGTATCACTTGATCCTCCCTTTTTGATTGTAAGTTCTAATGAGCATGGCCTCTCTGATTCCTCCTGTATTCAATTGTATTGTAATTGTACTTCCTGCCCTCATGTTGTACAGTGCTGTGCAAACTGTTGGCGCTATATAAATTCTGTATAATAACAATAGTGATGCTCTCATTATTTGTGTTTCACTTTAGCGAATTTAGGTGATTTTATGGACCCAGAATGATTGCTTATGGTTTACATGAATTCCTCCTGGCCCTCTGTGTCCTGTCCAGACATCAAGAGTGCAGGTAGCATGTCTTTAGTAGTACTCAGGTCTCTTAGGGTGGCAGATTTTACCCATTTTGCCAGTATATTTGGCATATGAGCAAGTTGCTCCAGTTTAGTGACTGCATCTTTGGCTCTATCTATTTTTAGTATGCATGTCATATATGGATGATGGTGTGAGTTGCCACCTTCTTGCAGATGCAGGTCCACCACGCCTGTATCTCCTCTCATAATCATGAGTATAGAGTGTGTTCACACTGACAAAAAAGGTGCTGGCCAACTCTTCTGTAGACAGAGAAGTGTACAGGCCATTTTGAATGTAGGGGTTAATGAATGGAGGTATAGAATCCAAGATTATATCAGGATAAAGGACAGGAGCTCTCCTCTGCATATCTTCTCACATGAGCTAGCCGGCCATACCCAAGTTAACATCTTTAGGATTTCTAAGGGAAGACACTTGCAGCATCTATGCTCCTTGGGTTTAAATCCAACAAAGTTCCAGACAGTTTACACACACATCCCCTGGGGCCTGAGTCCAGGAGAGAAGACCATGTGGCATGCCAAACATTAAACACCTGCCCTGCTCACATCACCAGGCCCAGGCTCAAGCTGATTGTCTGGGTTAATAAAT